TTGTATTCATCTAAATCAATGATCACTATCTGGGAAATAATATTTTATAATGATAAAATTAGATTTTGCAGTGATTATCTAGTATTTACATAGGACCAGCAGTCGATAACACACGTACACGGTGAAAATCGACAAAAGTGATATATACAGTTAAATGCGTACACAAACGTATCATCTAGTCTACAAACATCAGGTCAGTCAGTCAGTGGCAAGAAAAAATGGCGGATGTCGAGTTGAACGTCGACAACCTGATACAAAGATTGTTGGAAGGTACGTGATAAAAAGAGAGCTTATGTGAAAAGAAAGTGGGAAGTTGTTCTCGGTAGTATCATCTTCAGTTTGGTGTACAGTTGATCGAAAGTTTTTTCGGTAATACCCAGTGAAAATCGCTCGATGCGAAGTCGCGCCGCGTACATCGAGTATATATACTATTTCTTTCCAGCCAAAGGATTGAATCGTGCGCGATCTACTTTATGACATTCAATATCTGTGTATGTTATAAGTTTACGAAAGGTTTTCCTCGAGTCTCTTCGTTTATCGAAAGTTCATTTTAATTCGTGGTCCGTAAAATATTATAGAGAGAGAAAAACAGTACACACACATATATGCTATATATATACATAATATAAAAAAGAAAAAGATATCGATCTCTTCCAGTTGTGTGCAGTCGTCGTAATTCTTTAGACATGCCAGACGTCTTTGGATTTATTCCGCACATTTTCTTTATTTTCTCAGAAGGCAAAACTATTTCTTTTTGTTTGTTCTCTTTTCTCATGCTACATGTCGGAACACTCTTTGCGGTAAAGTATACCACACGCAGAAAGACCAGGTTCAGAAGAAAGCCAAGCTAAAAGATATTTTCTCGTCGGATTTTGTCGGTACGCAACAAGGAAACCACCCCATGTAGTTCTTTTTTTCCGTTCTTTAGTTGCGTCTTTACCTGCCTCAACGTCGTGCGTGAACGCTCGCCATCGTTTGCTTATGATTTACAATGTAAAATGAAGTAGAAAGCTAGATACATAGCATTGTGGCACCTGCAGCATCAAAGTTCTCCCAAAGATATCATCTTCATTCTCAAGTCAACTCTGTCATCATATTGATAACGTCCCATCAGCTTTTTCCCCTATTATTCAGATTGTGCGTGTGAATTTAATTTTTTAATTTTTCTTTCTTCTCTTTTTTTTGAAGTTAAAATACGTAAGTAAAGTGTATTTAATATCTGTTAGAATACAAAGCTTTTGGGACTGTCCGTACAATGAACAAGTATATTGAACTAGAATCACTTTGTTTGAACAATAAAACCATGTTTATACACAAAGGATACAATTTGTAACGACCCAATTTGCACGTAAGTTATTGCTTGAATGCAAATTAGTTCACATATGCATGCTTGATATGATACTTGTCAGTGTTGATTTAAGCTCTTATACAAATAGTATGTGTACAGTTATTTCCCATTTTCTTAGTGAATTGACTATTTTCTTAAGAGAATAATGTCACATTTTTCTTTCTCGAGAATTTATGGCACAATTTGATGTATTTTCATGATTGTTAATGTTTATATTATCCTGGCATATGTTTCTCTCAACGTGTTCAGTTAATAAATGTACAACACTGACTTTCTTAAGCATTTGTCTCTCATTTGACGTACATATATCATAAAGTGAGTTAAATCGTTTGTTATCTACCAGAAAGATTAATGTATACAATACATAACATGTACCATCACTTGATAAGAAAATTCATTCTGAGAGTTGCAGAAGGAGAATCTTATTCAATTAGAATGAAGATGTTAATGCTTGGTGAAGAATATTTATTTATTTCGATCTTTCCTGCGTGTCTACACAATATCGTCTCTATATTTTATCGTGAATAAACATAGGTTTTCCTCAGGAAACGTTTACCACAATACGCGAGTTGATATCGCTGTTAAAATAAATCGTAGTATGTCGCGGCTAAACAGCAGCCCGAACTATCGCGTGTGCGAGCAAATATAACGATGACGGTTGACTACAATTTTTTCATCGTACGTTCCGTTTCCATAAATAAACCGACTTTATTAATACATTTTCTCGAATTCTCTGAACCATTCTTCCACCTCGGGAAACTCCGTCGTTTTTTTTCTTTCTCT